TAAACGCATTGGGAAAGCAGCCACCATGTTCTCTAGACTCACAAAGAGAGTATGGCTCAATAAGAAACTGACAACACATACCAAGATCCAGGTCTATAGAGCCTGTGTCCTGAGCACACTCCTGTACTGCAGCGAGTCCTGGACCCTTTGTGCCCGGCAGGAGAGGAAGCTAAACACCTTCCATATGCGTTGCCTACGACAGATTTTTGGTATCACCTGGCAGGACAGAGTTCCAAATAGAGTAGTCCTAGAACGAGCTGGAATTTTCAGCATGCATACATTACTGAAACAGCGACGTCTACGCTGGCTTGGGCACGTTGTGAGAATGGCTGATGGTCGGATTCCAAAGGATCTCCTCTATGGAGAATTAGTGCAGGGAAATCGCCCCAGAGGGAGACCACAGCTGCGATACAAGGATATCTGCAAGCGGGATCTGAAGGCCTTAGGAATAGACCTCAACAGATGGGAAACTCTGACATCTGATCGCTCAGCCTGGAGGCAGGCAGTACATCACGGCCTCTCCCAATTTGAAGAGACCCTTGTCCAGCAGGCTGAGGCAAAGAGGAAGTCACAAAGGAAGCAAAACTAGGGAGCTGGACAGGGGACAGATTGGATTTGTCTTCAGTGTGGAAGAGATTGTAACTCTCGAATTGGCCTCCTCAGCCACACTAGACGCTGTTCCAAGTCCTCCATACAGAGCACGCTACCATAGTCTTTCGAGACTGAAGGATGCCTACACTACACATATCTTAATATTCGGGAAAGAAATAATTTGAAGCTGAATGTATGTGAATGCTAGGAAAAGCAACAAAGAAGTATTTCATCACCCATACTATTATTTGCTTTTTGATTTATTGGGAAAGATTTCCCATGTTCATCTGTATTTTTAAAGTACTGTATAAGGTTATTTCAAAGTTGATATGTTGCTTTGCTAGTTGATCTGAGTGTGCAAACTGAACCCAATCAGATTGTGACATGAAAGTTTGAGCATCATATCAGTTGGATTACATGGGGTTTATCTGGGGTCCATCAATTTGGGTGGGTCAATTAACCATTCTAGACAAGAAGAATAGACCCATAAGAAAATTCTCTTGGTATGCAGATGGAAAACAACCTGAGAAGTTTTAACTTCTCATGCATCTCTTATATCTTAACCCTTTGCCATCCTAATTCCACCCTTTCCCTGAAATGTCCACTACTATGTAAGAATGATGGTTTTTTTTTGGGGGGGGAGGGAGATCTCGTTCACAGGAATATGACAACCCCCCCCCCAATTTTGGCAAGGGGAAGTCATGAACAGAGGATAAAAATGAAAAAGGTGCTGTCGAACACAGCCACCCCAAGAGTGGTTTTAAATGACCAAGAACGATGATTCAATGTATTCTCGAAGGCTTTCATGGCCGGGATCTGATGGTTGTTGTGGGTTTTTTGGGCTCTTTGGCCGTGTTCTGAGGGTTGTTCTTCCTGACGTTTCGCCAGTCTCCGTGGCCGGCATCTTCAGAGGAACAGGAGTAGGACAAAGTTCCTACTCCTGTTCCCACAACCCCCCAGCCACAGAGACTAGTGAAAAATAACGAAGAACAACCTTCAGAACACAGCCAAAGACTCTGAAAAACCCACAAAAACAATGATTCACTTTTTAAACAGATTGCAGGCCTTCTCTACACTGCTTCTTACTATAAAACCACAAATTTTTCAAAACTACAAGTGGACTTATGATTTTTTTTCTTCTGCATTTCAGTTTGTATATCTAGCAAGTCCTTGGAGGATCCCATTAGCTGCAGACAATTAGCATCCAGGCCCACTCTTGATCCCACCTATGGTGTTCTGTAGCAAATAGGAAGGGTAAAATTTGTTTGGTGCTAGAGGAGACTCTTCAGAGTCCCCTGGACTGCAAAGAGAACAGTAAGGAAAACAAACCTATCAGTTTTGAAGGAAATCAACCCTGAGTGCTCACTGGAAGGACAGATCCTAAAGCTGAGGCTCCAATACTTTGACCATCTCATGAGAAGAGAAGACTTCCTGGAAAAGACCCTGATGCTGGGAAAGTGTGAAGGCAAGAGGAGAAGGGGACGACAGAGGACGAGATGGTTGGACAGTGTCATCGAAGCGACCATGGGGTCACAAAGCGTCGGACACGACTTAACGACTAAACAACAGCAAAAGAATTTGCTCTCCTTGTAAGTAGTTAAATATTTGATTTTTGTTTTAGCCAAACAATACACATTGTTTGCTATGAAACAATCGGTACTGTTTTGACAATACACACCTAATAACAAACATACATTATACACAAATATTAACTGAGATGTTGTTGCTTAGCATAGTGAGTTGCACTAGAGTAGGCCCATTGAATTAGTGAAGATTTGATGAATCAACCCTTTCATAGGTTCTATTGATTCAAATAGGCCTACTCTAGTGAGTTATCAATTACCGCTAGAGTAGGCCCATTTTAATTGATAGGACTTAGAGACAATGTTTCCTCTAAACTGTGCAACCATTTGACCATTCAGTGGTGCATTACTCCTGTGCACCCACAGCCAGTGTTGCTGCCCATTTGTGGCCAGTTGCAGATGGAACCCCACCATGTGAGCCCAGGTTTCTTGGAGTGACTGGGAACTAATGGGTAACACACCAGCTGTGGGTGCATGGCACTGATATAGTGCTGCACACCGGTGCAGCTTAGAGGGAACATTGCTTAAAGCTTGCCCATTATAAGACCAAGGCTAAGATCGTCCACAGAATTGCATTTCTGATTACTATGTAAAGATGTGAAAGCTGGACAGTGAAGAAAGTAGAGGGGAAAAATGATTTTCTTTTTCGAAATATGATGCTGGAATAGAGCTTGGCAGATACTCGGGCCTGCCGGAAAGATGAGCAAGTGAGTTCTAGAGAAAATCAAACCTGAACTGGCTCTGGAGGCAAATATGATGAGAAGGCACATCACCAGAAGGCGAGGATCTCTGGAAAATACAGTAATTCTAGAAGGAGTTGAGTTTACAAGAGCTGAGCAGGGCTGCTGAGAACAGGTCATTGTGGAGATCATTTATTCATAGGGTCACCATACGTTGGAGTCAATTTAATGGCAAATAACAACATTGTTTCTGTTCAACTGGCTGAAATCCTATTGTTTTGGTGTATGATCAATTTCTTCTTGAGTGCTTGCATAAAAGCTTTCAATTTCATCTTCTTCAGCATCAGTAATTAATTGGAACATAGATCTGAATGATGGTTGTATGTTGATAGGTCTTCCATGGAGTCTGATTGGTATTATTTGGTCAGAACTTACATTATAGCCTCTAACTGCCTATGTTACATTTTGCTTCAGTAAGTGCCACTCTGTTTCTTCTGAAATGTGTCATTTCCAGAGTAAAACACTTCACAGTTGCCTAACTGAAAATATCTTTACAGCACAAACGTTTCTACTAAAGACCTGCATATCAAAGAAACTATTATCACCCACTGATTTTCTCACTAACCAATCATGATCTCTATACTGTATTGCTGGTCTTTTGTGTGCAGTGATCACCAGTCCTTGTGGCTGCGTAGTGTTCCATGACCTTTTTGCAGGCTGTATTTTTCAGTGCTGGGACCGATGATCATTGCACACAAAAGACCAGCTAACAATACCCATCAATCATAGTGACAGATCATCTCTCCCCCTTATCGCAACAATATACCCACAACAAAAAGCACGACAATCACCATAATCACCCAATCTCCTGAAAAGGACAAAAGCTGATCCACAGCTATAAATACTCAACTATCCCACAAAACTGCACCAGAACACAAAGTTCTGACTCCTGTCCTATGAAGATGCCGGCCACAGAGACTGGCGAAATGTTAGGAAGAAAAACCTTCAGAACACAGCCAAACAGCCCGAAAAACCTACAATAACCAATTTGCCATGTTATTTCTCCTCTTATGACTGATGAAGTGGACTTGTCCATGAAAGCTCACATAAAAAATATGTTAAAGTTAGTCTTTAACTTGCTGCCACCATTTTTTTGTTACTTTTTACTTTTATGTTGCTTTCACCTATACAAGTTCAAGGTTGCTTCTATTTCCATTCTGTCGATCAAAGTAATACCCCAAATTCTTGCCCAGGTCAATTGTATTGGTAAGGAGGAGAAGCTGAAAACAGATTTTTCGTGCATCTCTCTGTTGGATTTCAAAAGGGGACCATGAGAGCACACAGCATAAAAACCAACTTTTCAATTTGTATTATGGGAAGAAGGAAAAAAAAACAATTTGTAGCCTGCTACCCACAGGCCAAAGGCACAAAGCCAGGAGCAGAGAAAATGCTTCGTAACTGCTTTCACAGAGGAACCTAGGAGAACGCTGATGTTCATTTCACGTGTATTTTTTTTGGCATCCCATCGAATGGATGTGGCATACCTATGAAACTAAACTAAGGCTGAGGGACTTGCGTCCTGGTTAGACGACATTCCCCATCACCACAACCGTCGGCCCCGTTGGCTGGGGATGATGGGAACTCTAGTCCAGTAACAGACCTGGCCGCCCACCACGTTTTCAAGCCAACACGAAGCCAGTGTGGCTCCTCCCTCTGCTACACGTGTGCAGTAACACCCCCTCGTCTATGGGGCGGGTGTGTGTGTAAAATAGGACAGAATTTCCGCCCTTAACATGCTCTCCGACTCTGCGCCATACACACACACACACATATACACTCATCCCAACCATCACCACCAGCAAACCCACCCTCCCCGCTTTGTTGATTGACAGGTAACGAAGGGGCGAGGGAAAGAAGGAACGGAGGGGAGGGAGTGGTTGGCTTCAGCCCCCCCCACTCACTCTTCCTTTATTGGTCGCTCCCGCCCTCCTAGCTCTCCCTGATTGGTCGGCTCGAGTTGCCGGTCCCTCTCCCTCCCTTTTCGGGGGTGTGTGGGCGCCGGAGAAAGAGAGAGAGACGGAGACTAAAAGCGCTCTGCCAGGGGAGCTTTCAAGGGGCTCGCGCGCGCATGCGCGAGCAACAAGCGAGCGGGGCGTCTGAAGCGCTCTGCCAGGGGAGCTTCCAAGGGGCTCGCGCGCGCATGCGCGAGCAACCGCAGCATCCCTTTACCCGTCCTCGCGGCTGCCGGGCACCGCCCTCTGTGACTCAACAGGGCGTGGAGGAGTTGCTGCTGCTGCTGCTGGAGGCTCCACTTTCCTCCCGCGGCATCTCTCTCTCTCTCCCGCCCCCCCTTTCCGCTCTTCCAAAGGCAACAGCAGCAGAAGGAGCTGCGCAGCCGCCGCCACCACTCCTCCCTTCGGGGCTTTTTTTCTCTCCCCACCACCACCAGCACCACTCCGCCCAGGCGAGGCGAGATCCCTCCATCCGTCCCTTCCTCCTCCTTTCTTTCCTTCCCTCCTTTTCTCTCTAGTTGTTCTCTTCCTCTCTGTCTCTCTCTCTCTCTCGCCTTGTTCCCTCGAAGAAAGGGGCAGGAGACCGGGGTAGCCGAGCCAGCATGGACGACCAACCGGGCCAGTCCCCCTTGGTCTCTTCCACCTCGCCCTCGTCTTCCTCCCTGCCGGGAGCGGAGCAGGGCGGGCAGCCCCAGAAGCCCCTCTTCCAGTACCAGTTCGTGAAGGAGCCGGAGGACGAGGAGGAAGAAGAGGAGGAGGAAGACGACGACGAAGAAGTGGACGACGAGAGGCTGGAAGTCCGGGAGCGGAAGCCCGTCTCGGCGCCGCCGGCCCCCGCG